GGACTTCAACTCCCAGAGTTCCTCAGCCAGCTTAGCTGGCTGAGGAACTCTGGGAGTTGAAGTCCACAAGTCTTAAAATTGCCAAGGTTGGACACCCCTGCTTTAAAACATTAAGTTGCGGATTTTTGTTTATCTAACGTATGGGTCCATGTTTGGTGGGAAACCAAATAGTTACTTTCCCCCTCTGTAATTAAGGCTAGAAAGTACTTTTTATTACAGTAGAACAGATAAGAGTGGGAAAGGAGAAAATCCATTCAAAATAATTCTAGGAAAGCTAGAAGTTTTGCTATACTTTCTTAGACATACTGCAACTCCCAACTCCCAGAGAGCCCGGCTAATGGCTTATTTCCATCCTTAGTTGAACATGTATACATGGGGCTAAAGCATTTCTCACCTTCAAGCTTTCTTGCATCTGCTTAGGAAAGAACAAGTCCAGTCCCACTTCCTTCCTTAAAGAGAAAGAAAATGCTGCTTTACCCATCTGCACGTATCCAATCTCTGGCCATATGGTGTTTCTATTTAGATTTAGGGTTGTTTTTTTTTTGAGCCAGTTTGGTGGTCTAGTGGTTAAGGCACCAGGCTAGAAAGCAGGAGAGTGTGACCTTGCTGTTAAGCAAGCATCCTTTTCCAATCATCCGTGATCATAAACAATGTCCTCTGGGCAAGGTGACCAGGGATGAATTATTTGAATGAGAACTGAGATCTTTGTGGGCTGGATGGGGGAGGCCTCTGGTAACCTTACTTAGACTATAATGTGAAATCATATATGGGAATCATCAACTCCTTCCAATTCAATTAAGATGACTGATAGCAGTACAGAACCTGGGACCAAAACTAATATTAATTGGTGTCTTGACCCTCCATCATTTCACTTCCCGACCCCATGTGATTTCCTCCCCACTGATTCTTTTTCCAGCTTTTTCAAGCAAATAAATGTTGCAATTTCAGCTAAGATGCATTGGGGATGCAATTCTGTTTTCCCAGATGAAATAGAATGTAATGTTACATGGGTAGGAACTGGACTCAGAAAGAATGCAGCAATTAGCTGTTAGGCCTTAGATGCTACTGTGAATTTGGGAGTGGGTTTTGGGAGATCCTGTCTCTGTCTCTCTTTTCCACACATACACATTCTTTCTTCTTCATACATGAACACACATACACCTACACATATTTTTTTTTAAAAAATGTCTGGTTTTATAAGCAGGGCTGCCTATAGGAAAGAAAGAAATCTATCAGGCAAAGATCACTACAACTAATGAGAAACTTTTAAAAACATCAACCAGCATAGTTAAAAATGTTGTCTACATACTCCAGGAATTCAAAGTTGGACTTCTTGTCTAAAGCGTTGTGGGGCATATCCTTGTAGAATCTCCTGCAAAAATTGGATATTAAAGCTTGCATGATTCCTAATTCACCACAAAACTCACACCAATGTTTTTAAATGGAACTTTCCCATCTCATCATCAATAGAATATCATTCAGTAATATCACCTGATTCAGGCAAGAAATACAAGCATTGTGATTCGTTTTGATATAGCTAAATGGGAAAACTTGCCTATTAAGAGTTAATGCCTCATGCAAACCAACCCATTAGAGTTTGGCTTGGTGTGAAAAACTCATTCATCATAGCTTGTCCAGTAAATTGCAGTTATCAATACCCTGCTTTATTATTATGCAGGAGCTCACTAATTTCTTATAATATTCCTCCCTAGCTGCATCCTTTCATATTTCCGGCTTTGCTTGTGTTTCTTGAACTCACGCTTCCTCAGATAATTCTTCTTGCCAATGTCCCAGCTTCAGGATTTTGGTTCCTGTTTTGCAAGGATCACTGTGCAATCCACAAGAGTTTGACCCTGCTCACATGTTTTCCAAACATGCTTGTGTCAGATGAAATCTTCTGCCTAGCAAGTACATACCTAAGCTCCAGGCAGCCTAGCTGTAGGGCCATCCCCTCACTCACTTTGCTTGCATAAAGTTGCATGTATTCACTTCGGAGCTGAAAGACACAAATAACATGGTCAGTTAAGGATCCCAGGTCTCTACCAGTGCTCACTACTCTTTCAAAAAAAAAAAAGATAACTGGGTATTATTGCACAGAGACAAAACACTAAGGGCTTTAAATGAAATGCATTTAAATAATAAATATTTATTCATTTAAATTACATCTTCAGCTGAAGCATGCTGGCTGGGCAATTCTTGGAGTTGAGGTCTACATGTTTTAAAGTTATCAAGTTTGAAAAACATTAACAGATTAACAGATTTGGAAGGTACCTTGTAGGTCATCTAGTCCAACCTCCCACCGAGTAGGAGACCCTACACCATTTCTGACAAATGCCAGTCCAGTCTCTTCTTGAAAGCTTCCAGTGACGAAGCTCCTACAACTTCTGAAGGCAAACTGTTGAACTAGAACAGGGGTCCACAACCCTTAAACTACAGACCAGTACCGATTCATGGCCCATAAGGAACCAGGCTGCAGAGCTGGAGGTGAGCAGTGGGTGAGCAAAACTGCACATGCATGGAATCTAGCTTACGTGCTCCCCACCCCACTCCATTGAATAATTGTTTTCCACGAAACTAGTCCCTGGTGCCAAAATGGTTGGGAGCTGCTGACCTAGAGGATGTGATGAAGTTGCATTAGTAAGCACAATGGAGGGTGCAACCTCACACATTCAACACAGGTACACCAGAGATAGCTCTTTAAACAGAGACTGCAGTCCTCGGAGACCAACCTGTTGGTAGAAGTACAGAAGCGTTGTCCGGTCCTCTTGGAAACGTTCAATATAATCTTCAGGGAGGTAGCGGACCTGGAGGTCATACCTTAAACAGCATACCAAACTTTAAGTTAAACCAGCATTCTTCAAGATTAGTGCTTAGATTTAGCAGACTACAAAATCTGGTTTCCCCAACTAGCAATGTCTTATTGCAGTTCTCTTTTCCATAACGTCACTTCCACTGTCAGTACAACTTGCATTAATTTTACATTAGTATTATATGGATATTTTTCCTTAGTTTCTTCCTCTATCAAGTTTTAATTTAATCACTGTATCGTAGTTTCATTGATGCATTGTGTTTGTTTCATCGTACTAATAAAATTAAAACAAACAAGACTTGCTGGGGGAAAACAAGCATGCTAAGATAGCCCAGAAAAACTGGACTTCGACCCTGTTTCTCTCCTCCCTTAGTGCACAAGAATGAAGCTAATCTGGAAATATTGGTCTCATCCATTATCTCTGAATAGAGGTCAAGAAGATTGGTGAGAACAAGATGGTTACAAAAGGGACTATATACCTCCATTCAGCCTCAAGGTGCAAACATTCATATTTGTCCTGGACTTCACCAACTGTCATGTCTGGATGAAGCCAGTGGATCTCGTCCGATTTCACATGCTTCAGGCGTAATCCATAACACTCAGCAAGCTGTATATCAGGACCAATTCTTCCACTCTGTAGAATTGACTTTATTACTTCCTATAAAAGAAAAATCCAGATAAATGGCAGGAAGGGAAGAAAAACATAACAAGGTTGTGAGAAACTTCTGAATGTAAAAGACATTCTGAACAGAACAATCTCGTAATTCATATGAGCATTATTTTAAAAATAAACCAGATATCTACCTTCTATTCAAATTTAATCTGGAAACATGCAAGAAGCATTTCTAATTAAAAAGAAGAGTCAAAGGGAAAAGAAATCTGACCAGGGAATTCTGGGAATTGAAATTAACACATTGTCAAGTTGCCAAGAAACACTGTAATATATACTCCTCACTAGCAACACACTAAAAGACATTTTGGCAACCCACTAATGTCACTTTGGACGTCGTTTATAATCTTTCATGTATACAATTATTTTGCACATTCCTCCTTGGACCCAAGAATTAGCATCTGAATGAGAGGAAAAAAGTGGGAGATCTCACATTTGTTTATTTTGTTTTTCTGAGGGAAAAGTGGTGTTATAACCCTATGAAAAGGGCCCCTAAAGTCTTACAAAACCTAAGAAGAGAGACAATATATTCAGAAGAGGATGAGTTGAACATATTTTGAATTTAAGAACTGCTTTGCCATATAACACCCAAAAATACATCCATTTCAGCATTTTATTCTTAAGAACAGTTCATTTTCTAGAATATTCAAAAACCATACAGACAACACATCTTTTTGCTTTGTCCCAACTGCTAAATTCAGAGGTAGACTGCTTCTAAACAGATGTGTTCCATTTAGCTACATTATAATGTTCTCTGAATATTGAAGCTTATATTGCCAAAACATCATTATTCATGTACAAGAGAGAGAGTAGCAGTTTAGATTTAGCCCTACAGTTGGCAAAAGTTCTAGAAATATTATGAAAACTAGATTATATAAATTAAACAAACATATCTTCCAAAAATTGGATGTTTGTATGTGCATGTGTGTGTATAACAATCCAACAAGGACAAGGATACCTAAGAATTTTACTGATTCCACTTCTCTCTCAAGGTTAATCTTTGTACAACCCTGCTTTTCTCAATGTCTGGTTTGCCTAGTGTTGAGGTAATTCCCTGTTAGGAGAATGAGCGCACACAGGGAGACATAGTGAGAGTGGTGAAGAATAACACACAAACAGCACACAGACACACTGTATAGTAAAATGTAGGTTTTTACTTCCAATAAACGTCCAAACAAGCAGTCCAAGTCATTCACAGTTAAAGCAGTCAGTGTTCAGTCCAGGGATAATCCAAATTGCAAAGTCCAGTATCATAAACAGTTCAGTAACAGACTTACATCAAATCCAAGAATAACAGTCAGTCAACACTCTCCAGAACAGAACAGGAACAAGACAACCCAGGTTTCTGGCTCCATCTTATGGCCGTTTGAGGACCACACCCAATTCCAATTTTAGCATTCCCTTAAAGAGGCAGTATTAAAATGTCTATCCTGGTTTATATATTTTCCAACCCAACTAACTGTTAGGTGACTTACATTCCTAACATTCTCCCCTTTGGGTAGGACAATATATACAACCTTACATTCTAAGTGCATAATCTTCACAGCTAGCCTTATGCTATATAGAGCTTTGGGCCTTTGTAAAATGATCTGCTATATTGTTTTCTGACATACATTATTCCAGATTAATCATCTTACTTTGCACACATTGTCTCATCAGCGTTAAATCTCGCTAATTGATTAAAACTGCAATATCTGGCCTTGACCAATTACTGAGATAAGATAAACTACCAATCAAAGACTGATAAATGTTCTTATCAAAAATAGGACTTTGAACATCACTATGGCTAAACTCCTGGCTCATTGGTGTTTTAGCCAGCTTACAAAGTTCCATTTTAAAATTCTTTAGTAATTGGTTAATTTTATCTGCCTGTGAGATCTTGTATCCTCCCCTAGTTTTATCTGTCTTTAAACCAATATATTGTTTGATTTCTCCTAATTGCTTTATTTTAAATTTCTTTTCCAATAGTGAAATTATCTCAGTAGCTTCTTGTTCAGTTTTGATGATTAATGCTATGTCATCAGCAAACAATAGCAACAATGAAATTATACCATTACTTTCTCTTTTAAACAAACATGGATCAGCTATGCCAGCTACAAAACCTATTTTAGTTAATTCTTTAACTATACATTGGTTCCACTCATATCCAGATTGCTTCAAACCATAAAGACTCTTTTTCAATCTTCAGCAATCATTATCAGTATTATCATTTTTAAGACCTAAAGGTTTCTTTAAATATATAGTGTGTTGCAATGGCGCATGCAGATATGCCGTCTCTACATCCAAATGATTTATAACGTATTTCTCTTTAGCTGCCCACACTAATGCTGCCCTTAATGTAGTAGCCTTCAGACTAGGTGCAAACACCTCATCATAGTCATTTGCTGTCTGATTGAACCCTTGTGCTACTAACCTGGCTTTATGGGTAACAGTCCCATCTATACCTCTCTTCAGTTTATAAATCCATTTACACCCTATAGCATGTTTACCTGGTGGTAAGTTAACGTTTTCGTATACCTCCAGTGTTTTTAATGATTCCAGTTCCTTATTCATTGCTTTCTGCCAAGCAGCCTGATCCTTAGCAGGATACAGTTTCAGTTCATTATAGTTATTTGGAACTGTATTCACTTGGTATACAACACTAGCCTGATATCTATCAGGTGGTCATGTTACTCAGGTTGAACATCTAAGTAATACTGGTGGACTCACCTGTTCCACCTGCTCCTGTTCTTCTGTTCTTTCTTCTGCAGAAAGACATTGAACACATACCTTGGTGATATATACACTTGTGCATCTTTTAATAAGTGGTATTCTGTTCATTTAAATCTGTGTTTTTCAAATTTGGCAACTTTTGAAGATATGTGGACTTCAATTCCCAGATATCCCCAGCCAGCATTCTGAGGAATTCTGGAAGTTTGAAGTCCACCCATGTTAAAACTGCCAAGTTTGTTTGTTTTCTTCTGTTCAATGGTGTCTGATTCTCAGAGACTGCTGGACAAGGTTTTTTAGAAGTGGTTTGTCATTGCCTCCTTCCTAGAGCTGAGAGACAGTGACTGGCTCAAGGTCACCCAGCTGGCTTTATGCCTACAGTAGGACAAGAACTCATGGTCTAGTGGTTGCTAGACTGATGCCTTAACCACTACCCCAAAGTAGCTTTCACCAAATTTGAGGAACACTGATATAAACCAGAAGGACATGGATCCAAGCCCATTGCAAGAAGCCCTCAACCAATGCAATTGATTCACGAAACTCACCCGTATCTCCGTCATGACTGTACATTTCACCAGTTTGAAGTTCTTGCCCATGTTGAAGCTGTTGCTATGGAAACAAACCTTGAGGATCCGAACTTCATCCTTGTCGATATCAATGGGTACAGCAACCATGGTGGACTCTGAGGGCCCTGCCAGGCTGAAGCAACTGCGGAGAGAATTTGCTCTCAGCCGGCTCAAGGCTTCCGGCAGTCCGGACATCATCATGAGCAATGCAGTGCTAACGCTGGATCATTACCTCCTGGCAACCAGAAAGAAAACAGTACAAGAGTCAGCGAGAAAACGAATTTGCCAACCTGGGCACCAATGTATCAATGCACAGATTTCTTGATCCTATATTACTTTTTATATATTAAAATAGTTTTTCCATTAAAAAGAAGAAGAAGAATCAGTTAGCCTGCTGAAAGCCAAAGCATCAGCTCTGGAAGTTTATTTATTTCTAAAAGTGTTTTAGGCTCCAAAAGATTGTTTTGAAAATAAAAGTGGGGGATGGTTATAGCTAAGTATTTTATCTGGAGACATATCTGCCTGCTTTGGAAAAAAAAAAAAACTGATAGCTTGGTTCTGTGGGAGACCAACTGGGAATAATAGAGGGGCTGGCAAAGAACCTTCTGTTCTACAGAACTACCAACATCCTCCACTGTAGTCAGTTTGAGATGAGGAAAGTCCTCCTCCGGCACCTATTTTCAGGAGATGCCTGCAACTTGTTCTTAAAATCTCAAAGGCATCCTTTAGAAGAATATAGCACTGAACATCTGCAGTCTCTCCCATCTGGATGAAAAGACCTAGTTGAAACGGCCTTGTTGTGGACATCAAAGGAGGTAGAAATAATGCAACATTTTCCCATTATTAACGATCTCCCTCAAAAACCTCAGAAACCCATTTGGGAAGAAAAGAAAAGAGGCTGTGGTTCTAGACACTGTATTATACATTCCTTGAAGCTTTGTGCAAAGGAGTGGATGATTCTGAAGTAGCGGGCTCTGAAGATGAAAAAAACCCTTTTTATAGCATTGATATAAGGGAAAAGGGGGCTAAGCACAGAATTTGAGGAAGCACATCTCAAGCAGCTCTTCAGGATGAATCTCCCAGAACTTACACCTATAAGGTTGGGGACTCAGACCTCCAATCAGAATAACAGAGCTGAAAGGGACCATAGAGGTCTCCTAGTCCAACCCCCTGCACAAGCAGGAGATCCTATACCTGTGGTAGTGAACTTATGGCACGTGTGCCACAGATGGCATGCAGAGCCCTTCCTGTAGGCATTCACGCTGTTGCCCCAGCTCAGCTCCACCTCACATGCACACGTGCCTCCCTCCAGCTAGCTGGCCTTCGGGTCTCTGCCATGCATGCGCAGAGGACGGGGGGCGGGGGTGGATGCACGGGGGTGGGGGTGCAGGCGCATGCGTGAGGACGCACAAGCACGGGGAGGGCGCACCTTGCATTTGCATGTGGGCACTTGGGACCCAAAAGGTTCGCCATCACTGCCTTATAGCATTCTGCACAAATGGCTGTCCAATCTCTTTTTAGAAACCTCCAGTGATGGAGCGCACATGATTTCTGAAGGCAAGCCATTCCACTGGTTAATTCTTCTCACATCAATCAAACATCCACCGGCACTGACCCCACCTCCCCCCAAGGCTTTGGGTATGATAGGGCTGTAACAATCCCAGAGAACAGCAGTCGCCAAACAGTGGGCTGCGGCCCACTGGTGGACTGTGAGAAAATTTTGGTGGCCCGCAGAGAAATCTCACCCCCAGAGTACCCCCAAAGCAATTAATCCAGGCTGCGCAGAAACACAAGGCTGCGCCGCCCACATGGCCCACAGGAACCCTCCCCAGCCACTCACTCCTTACCTGGCAAACTTGCCTGCTAAATTGCTATTTTTCCTTTTTCCAACCATCAGCTGTTCTGCTGTGCCAGGAGATTTAGATTAGCTAGGAAGCAGGAAATGGTTGGATTTCTTGCTTTCTAGCTAGCCTTTAGATCTTTGGCTCCGCCTTCAAGCACAGCCGAATCTCCCTTAGGGCTGAAGGTTCTATTATTCAGTGCAGACTCACGGCAAGCAAATTTTATGTGACAGACTAAGCTAACCTGTCACATGACCACCAACCCACACCCACAAATTAGGCCACACCCACAGAACCGGTTAGTGGTCCCTGGGATTTAAAATTATGAGTTTGGTGGTCCCTGAGGTCCAAAAGGTTGGCGACCCCTGCTATAGAATACCCCCTGCCTCAAAGCCATCTTTAAGCACCCCTTTCCCTTCATTGGTTTCCAGACTTTGACCAGAAGGTGAATCTAAGGATCATTTTAATATCCTACACTACCATAGCAAATTGTAAAGGGTCCTTAGACTGGCTTGATTTGGAGAACTGTGGTTGCCTTCAAGAGCCCAACAAACTTCCCAAATTGAGGAAGGGGCTATACTGAAGGGCATTTTTGCTACCCCCCAACCCTCTCCTGTTCAATGTAGAGGTGAACTCTTTCTGCTTTCCAGGGAGAAATCTTCCTTTCTCTCTTGCTTGGATCTTTTGCCATAACGTTATGAGCCTGTGCACATGCCTATGCCCTGAAAAACATGTGTTTTCTTTCCGCTCTTGCTTTCACATGCACCCCTCCTCCAGAGAATCAACGCTACTGAATTACAAATTGTTCTAAAATAAGGGCAACACAACCCACGGAAAAAAGTAAATGTTCTTCACTTATCCTTAACAAGGAGACTGCCGCGGTCCATGGACCAACATGCTCACTGCAGAGGAAGCCAAATATTAGATAGAGGTATTAGAGGAGAATGAGACAAAGAAGTGCAGCAGGCTGCCAAAAATGTGATTTCTGCTTCAGTGTTGATTTCCCCGAGCCCAGCTAAAAGTATGCACCGTGGAGGTAGACTACCTGTATTCCAACACAGAATAGCCTCAAGCAGCAGACAAGAATGCAAGATGGGAAGTTCAAGCAGTGGAACTAGACACACACACACACACACCGCTCTGCAAACAGCCATTTTCATTTCTAAAATGTCATATCCCAAAGATGCCTTTGTTTACATTCATCTTTGTACACAATTCTGCAGGGCAAGAATTTGGTCAATTCACTTGCAGATGGCTAGCAAGAGTCACACGCCCGCCGGCGGAGACTCATTGCTATTACAGAGCCCTCCTTCGCTTTCTCCTCTCCTCCTTCTCCTTACTGTTCCTTGCTCTCTTCAACTATGCAAGCTTTTTCAGAAGCCAGAAGAATTATCCCCGTACTCCTCTGACTTGACCTAGTCTTCTGGGGTGCATTGGTCCCAGAGGGAAAGGACAATACCCAAGGATGGTAGGGAAACAGTCCCATTTAGGAGCTCCTGAACTTTGGGTTGAGTCCAAGCAGGGTAGATCTTGGCTGAATGTTAAGGCATTTCAATGCAACAATGAAAGCATTTCCTTAGGAGATTTCCTGCACTGAGCTAGATCTGAGCCTTCCCCACCACCACACACACACACCTCCATTTTTGGTTTTTGTTTTGCTACTCTAGCACCTCCTCCTTCACCATCTGTACCACTTCTCTGCATTAGTAGCATCCAAAGCATCTGATCAGGCCCTGTGCAGGGATGTGTTGTTATTATTCATCTCTTGCAAAGTTAGGCAGGAGAGGGCAGCTCCAAAAATAAGCCATGTTTGCCAGGTGGAAGCGTCCATATATGTCTGGACTTCCTCCCCTCCCTTCCCCCCCGACTCGGGGAATAAACATAGCACTCTCACTCAGCAACAAACCTCACAATGATCTCTTTTCTGATATAAAGTAATGTTGCACTTCTTGAATTTCCGTGGGATAAACAGCTGCCCAAACAGCGGGAGCTTTGCAGGAAGTAAATGGGTACTTTCAGATGCTGCTCTTGCTCCAAGTAGGCACTAGAGGGTGTCAAAGCCTCACAAACCCGACCTTTGAGCACCATACACCAAGGTGGGAGGCATCTGATCTGCAAAAAAGTGTGATTCTCACAAGTACAGACACTTCCCAGGGGACCTGGAGTGGGTTGGCTGAGTTTCTCCAAACTGCTGCCACTAACTGATTTTTGCCAATTTCAACTCTCCATCTGGTACCCAGAGCAGTTCTGCTTCTTGTTTATCAGGACTCTAAGCAGGAGCTCTGGGATAAGAGAGGGAGGCATGCTCCATTATCTGCTTTCACACGTTCCTTTTTCCCTCTTCAAAATGTTTTGCAGCTTCCTGGGGAAGGAAAGAGACAACCAATGCAGCTGTCCTGCGAAGGGCTTCTCAACCTTTTGGGGGCCCTTCAGGAGATGGAGAAGAACTGCAAAAGATCTCCCATTACCCCTCTTCATCACTCAGCTGGGGACAAAACACATGCCAGGCTGAAATCTGCTTTAGCGGAGTATCCCTTCTTACTTCTTACAAATTATAATTACAGTTTTAATCTTAGAGCAATCAAGTTTTGCTAGGCTGGACTGAGACAATTCAGAGAGCTCAGCTTGATTTTATCAACATCCAAACACTAAACTACACTCAGTGGACCGAGATCACATTGGAAACATCAGAGCAATCACAAAGGGACCTTACAGAACAAATAAAAATATGCAGTCATACAATTTGGTCTAGTCTAGCATCTAGTCTAGCACTGTCAATGGCTCAAGATTTCAGCTAGGGCAGGGGTGTCAAACTCAAGGCCTGGGGGCTTGGATCCGGCTCGCAAGATACTTAGATCCGGCCCGCAGGACCACCCTGGAAACAGCAAAGGAACAGCCCGTGGTGCTTCTGCCAGTGAAAATGGAGCTCACTGAAATCAGGAGGGACGCATGCAGCCTTCCTGAGCTGCGTTTTCACTAGCAGAGGGTTGCAGGAGGCCATCAGTCAAAAATAAAGCTTGGGAGCCAGTTTTTGCTGGCACAGCATTTGGGCCACCACAGGCACCCTGAAACAAGTGATGTTGAGCTGGCCACGCCCACCATGGTGACGCCTAGATTGCCCCCCCCCAAGGTCAAACACAACCCTGATGCGGCCCTGGCTGAAGTAGAGTTTGACACCCCTGAGCTAGGGAGTTTCAATGGGCTTTAAGAAGTCTCTTTTTCTAAATATGCTGGTGGACTGAAACTAGGAAGTTCTATGCTCTTCCTTGAAAAGATGCACCCTTTATGGTTTAAACAGGGATTTACCACTAAATCACACTCTTGATCCTTCTCCTTTGACACTGCTGTCTTCCACCATGAAAGGAAACTACAGCACCCATTAAACTTAGTAGTG